CGTATAAGAGGCAACCTCAGTGGTCGTCGCTTCGATCTCCGCTCGCTTTTGTTGACAAGTCGCATTTCCATGTTATAGTATACTTCACCTAGTACGCCGCGCCAAAAGGCTTGAAGAGATAGACCGACTCGAAACCGGGGTAGTGCGCGGCCGACGGTGCGTGGTTGTACAGGATATTCTCAAACTCAATCTCAAATGACGGGAACGCATGCGCGTTCTTCTTGGCCTCGCCAATGAAAAAGTGGGCAAACGCTTGGGCGGCGAGGAGGGACGGGTACGAGTGGTCGATGTCGCCATAAAACACCCCGGACGGAAGCCGGCCAAACTCATATGGGTTCTTCTCCGGGTGGAATTGGAGACCGTAGATCGGAAACTCAACTGCTTCGATGGCACTCACGTACGACACGCCTTGGCGATCGAGCGACGTAGCAAGCGCCTGCACAGTAGCATTGAGATATAGTCCATCATCGACTACACCTCATGATGGTACCTTGAAGAAGGCTGTGAGACTTGGCGTCGCATCAAAGTGCGCTTTGGTGATGCCATAGTGGTGAAAGTTGGCTGTAAGCGGTGCTGTCGTGAGCGCATCGAACGAGCGGCTGTAGCTGAAGAGCCGGCTCGAGGCTGCGCTCGGGGTGTACGATATGGTCGAGCTCATGTTTTGGGCGTCAACCTTGTCGAGGATGCCATTGTCTTGGGCTGTCAATTGCACGAGCCACTCGAACCCGAGGCACGTGCCCCACACTGGAAAGTACGTGCCGTTCTGGTTGAGCGCAATCGCCGACTCGAGCAGAAACTTCGCTTGCGCGTTTGGCAGCGGGTCGCCCCCGGGGAAGAGGAGGCCGTTGACGCCCGATAAAAGCCGCGTCAGCTCCGACTCGGGGGCCGTGAACGGAATGCGCACGGCGCGCCCACCCGCGCTCTCGATCCACTTGATGTACGACGCCGCAATGTACTCGTACGGGCCGCCATCGCTCGGGTTCGTCGTCGGGTGCGAGAAGACACCAATGATCGGGTTGGGTGTCAAGACGACGGTATTTGGTGCCGCCTGCGCGAGCTCGATGGGTGCGACTGGCGTGGTTCTTGTGGTGGTCACGGCAAGGAGACAGCCAAGAGCGAGGCTCAGCGCGAGCACGAGCCGTCTCGAGAGCGACGACGCCGGCTTGGCCTTGGGCAGGATCGGAACGGTGGCGGCGTCGACCATTTTCCAAAAGACCTCCAAACTCAGAATGAAGAAGATTATGCGATCTTATTGCAAAGTCCAAGCGGCGGCGTTGGCTCCAACGGGTCTTTTGAGAGGCTACCCGCATGCCAATCAAAACGTGGAACGCTGTGTGATCAGCGGGTGCGTTCTTGAGCTTCAACCTCGGACCAAAACTCGGACAAAAAGCGACATGATTGACAAAAGCTGGTCATAAGTTGGTGTGTGAATGCATCAAGAAGACCCTATTTTGACGCACGATGGCAACGGGAGCGGTACCGTGGCAACTGCGCCTTCGTTCGCGGATATCGCAAGGGCGAAGGCTGTACGTTGTGGGGATAAGACCTCGCGAAGACGCTTGTGAAGCTTTCACTACTGACAGGAGGCGGGGTTCGTTCGTACTCAGTATCGCAGTGTCTGGTGTGTTCAGTGCCCAGGTTCCGTGTCTGTTGGCATGGGCAACTCGTGAGGCGCCCTTCGTTCAACAGAGCCTAGAAACTGTACAGCTGTACCAGACCTCGTGATGGCACACACGACTCGAGAAGACCACGGTGTTGTAGTTTCGTAGATAGCTCAATACCTTTTTCAAAGTAGCCTCGTGGGAGCCGACCCTGTACAGCGATGCGGCTACGCTGCGGTCGTCCAGCAATGGCTCCTCCAGAACTACATGTACCATACAGACCGAACTTTTCTGTTTGGGCGCCTGCCTCGGGCTCGAGTGGCGCGTACAGCTCACGGCCCAAGGCACACCGCTCCTGGGCACGATTGCTGCAACAACATCCGCTCGCTTGACACGTCCACACTCACCGCAGCCTCGAGCCATCGCGTCGTTCCAACCACTTCTCTCGAAAGCCGCGACCAACGGAAGCGGAGCTACGTCAAAAGACGCCGACCTCATTGACTTCTGATGACGTCTTCTTCTCGCCCTTCTTCTTCTTCTAAGGGCAGCACCGTAGAAGACGGCCTTGTCGCCACTACCACTCTCATGCATGTGGTCGCAGCGCTCTGTGCTGGCATCGCGCCATTGCTTCAAGGCTGTCCATGACGGGCGCCCTCTCCGCCACGAGTCACTGAAGCTGTCACTGACCTGACGCAGAGACGTGTTGTTGCGTTGGGTACCTTTGGGCGCGGTTGACGCAGTCGCAAAGTGCCCGTCGTAATCATTCCTAGCTTCATGTTTGTATGTACATACTAAAATCCATAGCGACGATATCCAAGAGAAGAGCCAATCACAGCGCGGCGAGCTGCGTTGCGGCAATCTCACAACCAAAACGGACCTTGATCGGTCGCTGGCAGCATGATGGCTCTAGCCGCCGAGGACGTGACGTGCGCCGTGTGCCTCGAGCCGTTCGCGTCGCCCGTCTCGCTCTACTGCGGCCACAGCTTTGACCGGTAGGCGGCGTCAGCGGCGCCTTGCGTCTCATTGTAGTGTGTA